AAACAAAAAAACTCTCATGGTTTTCAAACTATTTCATTATGGCCTATACTCTTCACCACAAACTAGCTCTTTTCATAGCCCAAGCACTAGTCACTCAAGACAGTAAGTGGAGGTAGGTACAGGAGACAAAGTATTGTTTTCTTCTTAGTTCATGCCTCCAGAGACCTAAAGCATTCCATTCTCATTTGCTGGATTTATTTCTGACTATTCATCACTCACCCACCAATCCCAAAATAGCTGATACTCTTCCCCATACCAATAACTATACTGACTTCTTATTAATTTACTTCTTAGAATCAGAGCTTTGTCCAGAAGAGACAGTACCATTGCAAACATTTAATGTAGGTTTATTCACACCACATATCTTGTGCCCCTTCTAACCTTCACACAGGAAGTATCTAAAAGCTACTAGACCCTTGGTTGGGGTGGTCGTATTGAGTAACCAAATTGCAATCTTAAATGTGTGAACTAGAAGGAAGTGAGGGTGGTGGAATTAAAAATGTGTCCAACTGCATGAGTACCAATTTTCTGCAGATATTAGGAAATATAAAGTATTCATTGGAGAATTTGACTCTTTCCCATTAATTTAAAATAAAATGTGAAGAATTTACAGAATATGAAATGCCCTGAAATGCTGGAAAAATTGTAGGCAAGATCAGGTGTCTAAGGCTTCTGCTCATAATCATGCAACCAGCGTCAGCTTATAAGCCTGAAGTGGCAAAATTGAGTCCTGAAAATATGTCACCAGTTGTGAAGAAAGCCTTTGATAATCTGGAGAAAGGACTAATGGGCCAGGGTAATCTCTTGCAACTTCCCAACAATATGTCCTTTACCAAGAGAAGAAAAGATCCCACTTGCAGCAGGTGATCTGTGTCTGGACAGCAGTGGTTGTTCCTATGACAGAAACATCAAGCTTTTAAATTTGTCTGCTGAACTCTGATGGTGGCTATGTGTTGCTTACATTAGCAGTCTGGGGTTCCGATCGGCTGCTTCTGGAGCTAGTTCCCAGCTCTCCTATCAGACAGTGGGTCTTACCGTGATCATCTTAACATGGTTCTATACCGATAAGTCAAAACTTACAGTTTACTTTCAAAATTAGAAATCCTAAAGAATATTGCTTGTTTGTCCATCTGTAGTTTTCTACCTGGAAAAATCTAGACATTGGCAAAAGTACAAAAGGTGGCTGTTGCTTTGAAAACTATTCTCTGAGCCTTGCACACTGAATTTTTCCCACTAAATACTACAAGTCTGTCTACCACTGTGTGTGTGAAGATGGATTGTTTAGCAGTAACTAAGTTCATCTTAGTTGACTCATCAGTGAATTATTCCTTTGCATCTGTCAAAATCTCTGTGAATTAAGGGTTTCATTGAGCCACCAGATTTTCTTCAGATCAGGGAAAGGTAGATTATATTTCTCCCAGTATAATAATTGTTACCTGCTCATTGAATCCCTTGCTGATGCAAGGGCCTAGCCTCTGAAACCTAGAATGAGACTGAGGCATATATATTCTCCAGTGACCAGAGCCCAGCACAGGACTGTATCACCTTTTTAATTTAAGCTTATGTCTAACTTGTTTTTTTTTTTAATTCTCATTGTTGACACAACTTATTTTGGCTTTGAACACCCATTGACTAATTTATAGAGTCTGAACCATTGACTTATTCCCGTTCACCTAGAAATTGCAATAACCTTTCTTCCCTTGGGCTACCTGGAATAGAGTGAGTGCACTCATCATTTTGAAAGCAGTCCTCAGTCCTAATATTGCAGAAACTTTACACTTGTTTGCCCAGCACTTGAGCAAGAATGTTTGTTGTGGATCTCAGGGATTATCCTCACATTACCTAATGTAACCATGAGAAAACACCAGATTGTTATCCAAAATCAAGTCTTTGTCATT